CATACAACAAGAAGCATCCTATGTTGTTGTGTGGTAAGCATTATGTAACACAGCTGATTTTCAAACAAGAGCACCTACGGCTATTACACGCTGGACCTCAACATTTACTTGCGCACATTAGGGAGACCTGGTGGCCTTTGGGTGGTAGAAACCTGGCTAGAAAAACTATATTACAGTGTAAAATCTGTATCGTATCCACTCGTATGAAGGGTGAAACAGTGAAACCAATAATGGGAAATCTACCAAAGGAACGCGTAAAGGCTGATTTTCCTTTCATAAATAGTGGTGTTGATTATGCTGGTCCATTCTATATATTGAATCGAAAGGGAAGGGGCTCTAAGCTTGAAAATTTTTATTTATGTTTGTTTGTCTGCTTTACTACTAAGGCTTTGCACTTGGAACTTGTTACCAATTTAACCTCTGAATACTATATTTTAGCATTAAAAAGGTTTATATCTCGTAGAGGAAAACCACTTTGTATTTTTTCTGACCATGGTAGGAATTTTGTGGGTGCTAAACGGGAACTTGCAAATTTCTTATGTGGGGAGTCTCAATCTATAATTGATTATGCTTCAAGAAGTAGGGGTGAAATCCTGTAAACACCACATCACCCGGGTGTTAGGCAATAGTCATTTAACTTATGAGGAGTTCAGTACAGTTTTGGCACAAATCGAAGCTGTCCTGAATTCCCGTCCTATGTATTCTCTGTCCTCAGACCCAACAGATTTTACCCCACACACTCCGGCACACTTCCTGATCGGCCGACCGCTGACCTCACAAGCAAGCGAGGATGTCACAAGCACTCCATCACACTCATTATCCCGGTACAAGCGCATCAAGCAGCTTGGGCAACATTTTTGGAGGCGATGGTCAACCGAGTATATTGGGGAACTACAGACTCGCACTAAGTGGAAGGGATCAAAAGGAATATTAGCACCTGACACTTTAGTGCTCATCAAATAAGATAATCTACTTCCATTAAAGTGGCGTTTGGGAAGAATTTTGTCTGTGTTTCCAGGGAAAGACGGCGTTCCCCGAGTAGCCAGTATAAGGACAGCTAATGGAGTCATTGAGAGAGCGTTTCTGAAGATATGTTCCTCCTTTGTTCCTCCTTTGTTGAAACTGGCAAGGGAAATCCTTGAGGAAGATGCATTTACTAACACATCTGTTCAACGTTGTTGAGAGCAACTGCACAGCTCTCAAGGCCCGCCGGCATGTTCATGAATAGCTCCATCTAGCGACCGGACGTAACAACGCACGAACAAAGGCGTGCTTCATCTGGCAACAATCTGTCACCATTGGAAGCAGTTATCACCGGAACGGACGGGATGACGCTGTATATCAATATAAAACCCGAACGCACGAGTGGCGGAGCACTTCCTTGACCAAGAAGCCCAACTTCGACTCTAAGATTACACATATATATTCAAATTAATGTAACGAAGTTGAAAATATACATTTATTTATTTATTGAGAAGTTCGCTTTATTTCCTCAACAAATACAACAATATACATGGAGAAGTCGCTTTATTTCCTCCTCAAACAAGAAAAATATACACCTTCATTAAGTAATAAATTGTTAACATTGAACCAGTGGACTACCTTAGAGATACAATTGTTCACGTCGGCAATAACTTTTTCCTTGCGTTTGAGTTTAAATAAAAGTGATGTATCATCCGCAAACAATACTATCTCATGGTTATCTCTTACATAGTAAGGTAAGTCATTAATATAAATTAAAAATAAGAAAGGACCTAGGATTGAGCCCTGCGGAACACCCATCTTAACCGGCGAACCAGGTGCCTGTGACAAATTTTCATCACAAGTAATGATTCGATTTAAAGTCCCTTCATTATTGTGTCGGTTAAGCAAAGTAACACAGTAGTCGACGTGTGTTTGCAAGTTCGATGCACTCAATTCATGAGGTACCATCGTTAAAGTTTTTTTTAAGTGAAAACTTCTTTAGCGGCGTTGTACACTTTATTTTTGTATGGGTAAAAAATGTTAAACTCGCATGATCGCATGCGCATCGTGGGCGCATCACACACAATAAAATTAGAAAGGTTGTAGACTTTCAATATATTGGACGAAACATAGTAATATTTTATTTTATCGTTTTATAATAATAAGTATCTATCTAGGACGTCTGCTTTATTGCGAAGAAAATGCATTTTTTTATAATAGATGTCGCTAGGTGCGCTAAAATGTGATTAATGTAAGTTGATTTCTTTACAATAGATGTCGCTAAGTGCGCTTTAACGTGATTCAGGTAAGTTGATTTTTCTGAAAGATAAACTTTTTTAATGTAATATAAAGTGTCATATTTGTTTCTTAGGTTTTCACGCACATCACTCATTAAATAAAACTAGTTTTAACAGGTTAATGCACGAAACTTTATTTATTTATTGACGTTTCGCAGCCTTTTCAGGTCTGCTTCGTCAGAATAATGATTTTTTATTTAATTTTGTCGAGCTACCTTCGAAAGATTTTATTGAGCGTTCGGTTATTTCATTGTTAGATTTTTAAAGTTTTATTGCCTATGTATTAATTTATTAGTTAATTTAGTTAATAAAGTACTTTATTTAAAATTCTTTTTTGTAATTTTTAAACGTCAATAAATAAATAAAGTTTCGTGCATTAACCCGTTAAAACTAGTTTTATATAAATTGTCATGTTTGTGTACGATAGCGCAATAAATAAATATTGTATTCTACCACATACATGATAGTACTTTTATACTCATAATTAAAGCATTCGTGCAAAATTATTAGCATTAAAGCATTCGTGCAAAATTATTCCCTAACCATTCCAATATATCCGTCCACGGGGTTGGTTCTGAAGGTCGAAATTTCCAGAACAAAAACGTTGAAACCAAAAACGTACCGTGCTTTCTTTTGCGAAACCAGCGCCTTACACATCATCAAATCCTTCGAACTGTTTCTGCAGCACTGGTGCCACGGTAGAACTCGTACTCGTAAATATACCGATATTTCATGTTTTCTATTTTGCGGTTATAAGCGACCCCAAAGAAAAAATAATGAGGAAAAAAACAAATGATTGACTGTTTTCGAAACTCAAATGGACCAGCTAAATGACTTAATAAATTTTAATTTAGAATTCTTAACCAAAGAGTAAATATTTCAAATCAAAATGGTCAGTTCGACAAAATGCTAATTTCAAATGTAAGGACATAATAATTAAGACACATTTATTCCTATTTTAAGAAACATAATAAACACTTACATTATTTTAAGTCAATTTAAAATACAGTAAAATATTATTGAAAAATAAATACAATAGACATACAACAAAATTCCATATTATGCACATCTAGTTAGCGTCATCAAATTATTAGAGATAGGCATCGACTTCGGGTCGCCCTCTGTCTGTCAGCTAGATGTATTACATGAATTTGTAATATGCAGATATAGAGATACCAATCTGGATCTTATTGCATCTTACTTGAGGGATAGGTTTCAGAGACATCAATGGCAATGTATCTTCGGGTTCGCCGGATAAGATGAGTGTTCCGCATGGTTGAGTTTGAAGTTTCTAATCACTATAACAGGTTTTCGATATTTAATAAATCAAGATTGTATTGACGTTGTAACACGTGTGTTTTATTGTAAATGTTGTTACATTATTCTTTTTGATGTTATGGAGTATTTTTCGCTTGTTTTTCTCCGCAGCTAAAAAATATGTCCAATAACGAGTGGTAGGGGAAAAAATGATCGATTCAAAAGAACTTATACATTCAATTTGAATAAAGATATTTGACAGCAGGCCGGCCTTATGCCGCGTTGTTTCATCTATAGTTAAATTTTACTATAGTAATAAAAATGACTGATTTAGTATTACTTATCTATTTTCTTTATGTTTTAGTAATTTTAGCATTAAAATTCAATATTTCCCTGTACTTTTCATACTGTTCATTTCACGTGCTATATAGATTGACTATTGTTTAATACACAATTACTATAATAAGAACTTAAGCTACTTTCGCAATTGTCTATATTGGATGTGTGAACAAAAATTAATAATCTCGAGCTCCTCCGTGCTTCGGAAGGCACGTTAAGCTGTTGATCCCGGCTGCATCTGCAGTCGTTAGCACCCACTAATCCGCACTGGATCCACGTGGTGGGTGATGGCCCAACTTCCCTATTCCATCCATGGGGAAGGCCTTTGCCCCAGCAGTGGGGGCCAATGATTATGATGACTATAATAAGATGAAGTATGAATAAGGATGACGAAAGTACTGCAACGCACGGTTTATAGCGCAACACGTTATTTCAATTACCGTGAAACAATATACTTTTACAGTAATAAAATAATAATGCAAATGGCTGATGGCGGGAGGCACAAAACACACTTTCTATGTTCTGTGGTGGGAGGTGTGCTCGAGGTTAGCTCCCTGAACGCATTTTACAGCAGTTGATATATTATGCTACATTAACTGAACAAATATTCGGTATTTAATGAAATACTCAACACTAACTCAAACGGGTTACGTATGAAGCAAAATGCATGATTTATATGCATTGGAAGGGTTTTCCAATTTACATAAACACCTTATTTTTATAGCAATAGTGAACTTCTTGATGAGTCGTTTTGTGTACTGTCCCATTGGGAACTGAAACCTAAGCACGAGTTTTTGACAGCTCCGTAACGTATCGGATCGTCAATGTTTCTTTAAAAACTAAGCAGCGTCCCTATCGAACGTAAGAACAATCTAGCTTATTTCATACAAAATTTGAGGATTACTATACTTTACGGAGCTGTCAAAAACTCGTGCTTTGGCCTCTGATAACTTCAAAAGAGGATCCAATTTGGGACAAGAATTAATGTACTAGATAGGTTTATAATTTTATTGTGATAATTATTTATAATAAATAAATTGAGAAATTATAGAAATATTTGGTTTCAGGTACGCTGCAGATTTTCGATGCGGATGAGCGCCTGCATCGACGTGGAAAAGTAATGTAACATAATTTCAGCAAATTATGCATACCGGGATAGAAAAATCTGAACCGGATCTTTTCTTGGCTCAAGCTTGCTCAACTATTGGATGTCTGCAGAATGCATCCTATATCGTTAACGAATCATTTCACAACCACTCATGGCAAGAGCACAGCCTGGAATGCGTCATCGAACCTTCACCAGGAGACTTCATCGGGTCTCCTTTATTTCAAATATGTGTATATTTTATGTACAGTGCAGTTTTTATTGTGGCTCTGTTGGGCAATGGACTGGTTTGTTTCGTAGTCCACAGGACTCCACAAATGAAGACGGTGACTAATTATTTCATAGTGAACTTAGCGGTTGGTGATATTTTTATGACTCTGTTCTGTGTTCCCTTTTCTTTTGTCCCAATGTTAGTGTTAAGATATTGGCCGTTCGGTGAAGTGATGTGCAAAATAGTTAACTATTCCCAGACGGTGTCGGTACTAGTGAGCGCGTATACACTTCTCGCAATATCCATCGACCGGTATATGGCTATTATGCATCCGCTAAAGCCCAGGCTAGGAAAAGCCGCAGCGAAGATGATCGTGGTGGCTGTATGGACTGGTGCATTAGCTACCGCGGCACCAATACCAATTGTATCGCAACTTCTGAGGCCGTCACCTTGGCATGAAGCGTGTAACGTGTAAGTATATAATAAATAGTTTTCTAGTTGATAAAAAAATACTCGTCATAGGAAACTTTTTAGGATAAAGTTTTACCTTCCTAACCCGAATTGTTATGCCAAAATCCAGACCCAGTGGAAAGATAATAAATAGATTAATTTATTTGTCCTTTGTCCTCTTATTTTTTAATTTGACAAACCATTCTGCTTAACCAATCACCAGAATGAAGTAGTTTCCTAATGAACTTATATCAAACTGAGTACTAATACTAAATGAGAAAATTATGTCTACAAACCTTCATAGCGTAGCATATTCTTAAGTAAGAGATATAGCATCTATAACGGATTGCCTGCTAAAATTGTTTGGTAGTAAATTCAACCTTCAGGAAAACCACAGAGTACACCTTGTAATGGTACTGTGTTACTGTCGGTGCCAGGTTCCAGGGCTCCACGGGGAAGGGAAGTCAGGGTAGCCATGGCGCGAATGGCACTCCGGTATCACAAGCGTCTACACTACCTGTTTACAAAAATTTTAAATGAAAAAACTCAATGCCGTTTCAATAAATTTTAACTTTATGTTCATCAGGGATATATGCAGCGAACTATGGTCTAACGTGAAACAAAGTGAGCAGTATACTTGCGCTCTGCTTGCTCTCCAGTTTGCGCTACCACTGAGTGCGTTGGTATGCACGTACACGAGGATAGCGCAGGTAGTGTGGGGAGGACGGCCCCCTGGAGAAGCCCAGACTCTCAGGGATTCGAGGATGCAGCATTCTAAAAGAAAAGTAAGAAAAGGAATAGAGAACAAGGAAAAGGGTGTCTGTTATTTCCATGTACACTTGTTCTCTTCCTAAATACTCCGCTTTAGTTTTAAGTTTGCAAATGATGTTCCATTACTTTTTTTGCATGTTTACAACTACCGCAATTTTAATGGACTCTTTGCCAGTTGTTTTAAAGCACAGGCGGTCCCCATTGTTAGTGAAAGAGATAAGGACTGGCGACTCTATATTGAAACCAATGCATTCCAAGGCAAGGAAAAACTCAATATAGCATATTTTTGCTCCTTTATAGAAGTTGTCAATGACAATCAGGCTTCTTCTTATAAGTATCAGTTTATGTTGTTAATCCATAAATGGAATGATTTATCAGATATTTTTATACACAATCTCAATGAATAGTTATAACACCCCCAAAAACAGATTGTTTATTAACTGACCTTCACGGCTTTTGATCAGCTGCTTCATAATTTTCTTCTCCTAACACCTTAGACTAATACGATATTTACTTCTTTATCCTGAAAGTAGGTAAATAATTGCCCCAAAGAGTACGCTTTATTTTACCAATAGGCAGCCGTGTAGAATTTATGAAGGGCTTGTAAAGGATTTCGAATGGTATTTCTTGTTTTACTACCTGGAAGAGTAACTGCGGCTTTTACCGTTCCAATGTTAAAGAAAAAATATTTTTATCAGGTAGGTATGCTTGTATTTGCAAATTGTGTGTTGGAACTTTGTACTTGAATCAGTATTTTCAAATTGTACTTCGAGCTTTTTATGTCGTTTCCAGTTGGCTTTTCCACGGCTCCTACAGTGGTTCGACCTGTTTCTGACATAAGACAAATTACAATTCGGATCAGAGATGTTTTATTCCCCGCTTAGTGATGGATCTGGTAATCTTAAGGCTCACAGTTTACGCATCTTCGAGATTCGAGGCAATAAGGACATTTACCCGAATTTGGGTTTTTTTCCATCCAAATAAAATATAAAAGTTAATAAATGTAATAAAAGCCTTTTTCTAGTACAATGCCGAAGTAGTGACGCAGCATTCTAAAGATTTTGTTAATAGTTTTACATCTAATAATTAAATCATAATCATCATCAGCCTATTAATATCCCCACTGCTAGGGCACAAGCCTTCCCTATAGTTTGAATAGGGAGATTGGGCCATGACTAGGGTTACTATTTGAAATTTTGAAAAGTCCTGACAAAAAGTCGGATATTTCGATGAAAGTCCGGCCATTTTAGTCACAAAATGCAAACATCACCCACTTAGTTACAGTGATATTATACGCTTGGTAGCAGACGCTCACATCGGGAGGGGGTCTCGTTGTTGATTTTTAAAGATAATTTATATTTTGTTTAAAATTAATGAGAACTTAATAAAGATTATTTGCCTTATTTGATATAACTTAATAAGTAGTTTTATTCATATTCCATCAAATTAAAAAAATCCGGACAAATTAAAAAGCTGGACAAAGTCCGGACTAAAGGCAAAAAGTCAGGACGGATGGTAACCCTAGCCATGACCCACCACGCGGACCCAGTTGGATTGGTGGTTGCGATCGACTGCAGATGCAGCCAACGGCTTAACGTGCCTTCCAAACCACGGAGGAGCTCAAGATAGTAAATTTCTGTTCACCCATCCAATGAAGTGCATTATTGAACAACCATAATTAAATACAGTGATTAAAATGATAAAAGGTATTGTTCCAATAACACAGATTAATATTAGGTATAACGGATTACTAAATTGTTGTTTGTTGTCCGAAGACGAATATTTAACAAAAACTCAAATTATTTTGATACAGAATTTACTGTTGCTTGAAGATCTATATTCAACTTCCGACGAAGTAAGTAAATGAAATTAAACACGCAGCGGACAAATTAGCACGCTAATAGCTACATAAAAGCTTCCGCTGCCTTAAGCGTTAGCACGGAGCGGACGTCCGCAGCAGTGATGCGTTGTGAGGGTCTCCCGTCGCAGAGCACGCTCGATTGGCTGTCTTCTATGCCTTTGTCAGCGCCGTTTTTTGGCAAAATTGTATTGTCAACAAAAATAATCCATTATCGACTGTTTATCAGCGCGATCGAAATTGTATGCGTTGAATTTGTCCGCGAAGAACGTCCGCTCCGTGCTCCCGCTTAAGGCAGCAGAGGCCCTTTAATACCGTGTACGAGTATTTTCTTTGAGTTTAGTGTCACCCCAATTTTGATAATCAACTCGCTGTACCTAATCAATTTAACAATAAGTTGATATTCACTTCGAAGGAAGACCTTTTAACTACACAACTTCTAATAACATTGAAAATTTGAATAATGACTCATTACAATATCCTTAGCACAAACCAATATTTAATTCGATTAGTTGAATTTGATCTGGATACGCGGTAAATATCAAGAAGTTTTGTATGGAAATTAGAACAGCGCCACAACGAACGTAACGAGAATTAAATGGTTCATTCATAACTTCATGACATTTGACGCGTACCGTATTCAAATTCAACTAACTATTCGACTTCGATATTGATTCTTGCTAAGGGTAAAGTTTTGCATTTTACACTGATAGTATAGGTAGTAATTCAAATTATTTTTGTAGATGATCAAAATGATGGTGACCGTGGTAGCCGTCTTCACAGTCTGCTGGTTACCGCTCAACATTTTCATTGTAAGTTCTAAAATTGTGAATATTATGTGTTTACTTTGGCTTGTCTTGAGGTGTATTAAGACACGTATCTTCCTTACGAGAGAATCAGTAAACAGATAATTTCCCTTTTGAACTGAAATGTCTGTGATATAACCTGTACAACAAACACGTAATACTTCCTTTTGGTGGTCTTTTATTTCTGTTGGTGAATAAGTTTCAAGGTTCCACTGGGTTGGGGATCGTAAAGTATAAAATTGTTTAATAGTAAAATTATCATAGTAGATATAATAACTAAGTCATATAATTATGAGTTCTCCGAACAATTCAATTTTTTTTTTATGTTAACTTTATGGTTACATGTATTTTTTGGAGTTTTGTCATAAATATGTGCTACTGAAAAACATGTATCCACGGTCAGAATAAATTTAAAAAAAAACTATTGAATACATAAACATGTAAAGTCCTTTTCATGAAAGAAGTCCCGCGGTGATTTGTGGAACTAAATTTGACAGATCGGCCATGTTGTCGTTCATCGATGTTATAAAGTTCGTTTGTTGTGGTAGATTTTTGTAAGTTTTTAATACAGTGCGTTTTTTGGTGTGTTCACAATGCCAAAAGTTGTAAAAAGTTCGGCTCGAGAAATGATACTAAAAGTGAAAGAGTTCTGTGAAGCGGAACAAAAGAACCAAGGTGTTCTAATACCACTAAACAATGTTCGCAAGAGAGTCGCCGCCATAACAGGTACTTTTTTAGAGTTGCCATATTATGAATTATTGCCGTATTGATTGGAGTTTTATTATATGAACTTTTTTTTATTTCAAAGACAAATTTTAACAAGTAAATAACACGTGATGAAGCTGGGTAACTTAAATTTAAAAATGTAATCTATACATATAATAATAACGAAATAAAATAGGTATTTTAAACTTATAATTACTTATTATTATAAATTGTTCATAATTTAATTGCAGGTGTGTCAGAGAAAACTGTAACAAGAATCACAAAAGAAGATATCACAGCGGCGAGTTCTTCGAAAAAAATTGTCACCCCGGGGAAGAGTCGCCCGCATCCGAAAAAGTTCGACTTGGATGGGTTCGATTTGTGCGCCATCCGGCAAAAAATTCACAGTTTTTTTGTTGTGAAGAAGGAATTACCTACATTGGGTAAATTACGGGCCGCTTTGAAAGAAGACATCATTTTCAGGGAAGCATTACAACATTGCACAGAATATTAAATAGGATTGGTTTCAAGTACAAGCGATGCCAATCCAAACGTAAACTACTTATGGAACGTCATGAAATTACCGCATGGCGTGCAAGATATTTGGATAAAATACGAAGAAATCGCACTGTGGAAAAAAGACCTATCGTATACTTAGATGAGACCTATATACACAATACTTATCATACAAAAAGTTGTTGGCAAAGTGAGGAGGAGCCAGGAATGTTCGTCTCAGAGTCATCGGGGAGTCGATGGATCATTAAAACTTTGAATAAATTTATATAGTTGAATAGTTATGATCAGCGGTCATACTAATATCACTGTCCGAAGAATGGATGGAAACAGAATCAGATTCTGTTTCACTATCACTAGCCGTTGATATGATCATTCGGTCCATTTCTTCATCCATAAGGCCGGCATTTTTTAAATATTGCTCCTCCAAATGTTCCACATGCTTGCACTGAGCTGTCCAATCTTCCTCCGTAATAGACTCAAAGGCCTCTTCAGTTATTCTTACTATTTCTTTTGGATTTTGGGCCACGTTCTTATCTGCCACCTTTCTTTTTACAAGGCTCCAGATTTTTTCAATCGGGTTGAGGTCGCAGTGGTAAGGCGGCAATTTAAGCACTTTATGGTTGTAAGCTTTCAATAATTCATCCACAGCATATGTTGGTGGACCTTTATTTTGTTTGATTAGCTCAAGCAGCACAGCTTTTGTCCAGGTGTCTTCAAAATATACTCCCTTTTCTCGAAGCCATTCCTGCATTTTACTTTTGATACTCGACATTGTAGGTGTTGATTATATTGAATAAAAGACTTTTCTCGAAGCCATTTCTGCATTTTACTTTTGATACTCGACATTGTAGGTGTTGATTATATTGAATAAAAGAATAATTTTCAGTATTTTCTTGTATTTTGTTTAACATAGGTTTTAAAATTATAATCAATCAAAATATCACTATGACAACGTATGTATCAAAATCTACCCTAAAGTAAAAAAAGAAGGTTGTGGTTGAGGTTGTATTCAGGTTTGTAACATGACTTCTTTTATGAAAAGGACTCTACCTAAATACTTATTCGGGAAATATGTATATTTTTTCCCCATAACTGGCAACATTATGTCGCGCGAATACAGCGCTGCGTC